TACCTTACCGGTTTATAATAAACGTGGTTCGATGAACGTTGCGTTGTTAATTCATTTGTTGACTATAGGGCCCTGGAACAAGAGGGAATTCAACAGTTGGAGCGGATCGATGCGATCGGGGGCTTGGATGCCTCTGAGAGAAAAAAAATTTGGAGATGGCAACCGCCGTTCGTTCAATTATAAGACAAACGATTCTCGGGGCGTGACTCTGTGATTATTCGATTTAAAATCTGTGGCCAACAACATAACGATAAACCGTCTAGTCACGCGAGAGGATATCATTCGATCTGGCCGTTACGCGACGCATTTCTTCAGTCTCGTCAGGCTGGGTCCGATTTCGATTTTCGGTAACAAGATTCACCCCTTTTCTCACAGAGAAACCCCCCTCTTCTTTCAACATTAAAGAGCCAAGGATCGTTTGATCTTGGCCCCGACTGGCTCATGCTGGCAACGCGAACAGGGGTATTTAGACGAAACTGCCTTCGAACGCACCCCGTTTCGGGGGTGGAACAAGGTAAAGACAAGACTGGGGGATTGGGGACTAGAAAAAAGAAGAGTAATCGTGAGGCAATAGGGAGAACGGACGGAGGAAGAAAGGGGAAGCAACAGAGGAAATAAAAAGTCACAAAGTAAGGGTAGAAACAGGCAGGCTTACGGGGGTGGATTCATTGGACGGGTATAAAAGTCCCTGAAGGTAGAACGACCGCAACGATCGTAAATATAATTTTAAGGGTAATAAGGGACGATCGAGGAAAATGAATACGAAGATTGGAAAATGGATGTATAAGTTAGGGATGCTCGATTCTCTCGAATAACACGTCACTGCCATACACACACAAAAGTATGGGATCAGATCTGATGATTAAAAATAAAGGAAAATATTATTCCACAAAGAGTTAATGAAGGTAACGTGTTAAAATTGATGGGAAATGATTTGTATATGTACTGACTCCGTAAGTTTGATTAAAGGGGGTGAGGGAAAGAATTTCGAAGATGGAGGGGCAAGACGCGTAGGGTGGAAGTTCCCGAGTATATGCACTCGAGGGTTCGGTTTCGTACGCAATCCCCGCGAGCTTGCATCGCGGCTGGATGCACACCAAGTAGTGCCACGAGCTTCGTGAAAAAGGGTGGCCGAGGCCCCGGGGAAGCTTACGAAGCCAACGAGACGTGGGGCAGAGCTGACGGGGCCCGCCGAAGGTTAACGAGGCTGCGGAAGGGCGGGACAATAATGAACCGCGAAAGGGAAAATTTTTGCTCTCTTCAGGAATTTCGACTAATGGCAGTCGTTTGCTTCTCTCATCAAAATCATAGGTGCCTTTGTAAATTTTCTCTGAGAATACAATAAAGTTATCTGGAAATCAATTGCAAAGCTTGTAATATACATTATACATTTAAATATACAACATAGCTGACCCGGCAAACGTTGTTCTGCCTAAATTTACATTTAAATTTAATATTGTTGATATGAAAATTATATACAGGGATAACTACATTTTCGTAAATATCTCCACCCCAGCGCCACCTATCGGGTTCAAATTTTGCCAAAGACTTTCTTTTTATTTAAATATTATATGGTGTGAATTTGAGCCAAATCGGTCCATAAATAAGAATTTTCGAAAAAAATAACCGACCCCAGCGCCACCTAGGGGGGTCCAACAGAAACAAAAACAATCCGGAGCACCACACGAACATATGGTATGAACATAAGGTGGATAGCTTCAGTGGTTCAGCCGTGATGGTCAGACATACATACGCACCAACGTTTTTATATATTAAGATTATATATATTTTTTTCTAGAAAACGGTGGTGCTGTTTCTGCAGAGCACCTTTTCAGGTCAGGGTGGACTAACCCCGTAAGTTCTGGACCCGCCATGTTTGTTTCTCTACTCGACAGGGAGACACGTGACCAGAGATCACGTTGCTCACGAACCAGTACCGTAACTCGTGTAAAATTGTTATCGAAGCAAGAACGTGATGATGTAATTACGTAAGTTGTCCTTGCCAATATAAAACGATTCGAATGAATAACCATTTGGGAAGAGGGACTGGGATCGACCCACGTGGACCAAGCGTTAAGTGAAATTCGATCGATCGCTGATTACGTTAAATTCATGGAGGAAGATTATCACCAACGAATCGAGATTCTTGAAAGAAAACTTCGTGGGAAAAAGATTCAAGTACTATTCTTCGATCCTTTTGTATTCTCTGCAGCTCGTATAATCTCGCGAGGCTATCGATCCGTGAAACTGATTCACGGACAGAAGTCGAAGAGGGAAGAAACGGAGGGTGAAGAAGAAGAAGTCTCGGGGTATTCAGTATTCCTATTGCCTATTTCTACGATATATCAAAGCGGCAAAGGGGGAGCAGCGTGGTAATCGCGAGGTAAGACAAGGGGTAGAAACGTTTTCGGGGGAGCATTTAGACGTAGTACAAGTCGAAGGGTGAGAAGCTCTTCGAGGCACGGAGAGCGATCTCTCTACATCGTGGGGGGAGGGTGGCTAGGAATGGCGAGTTTTACACACAGAGGTAGAGAGAGGACGCGAAAACGGCACCGTTGCCGTGAGCCAGGTCTTTCTTCTTCTTCTTTTCTCCCTTTTTCATTTTCATCCGGCTACGCCCGACGCGAACGTTGGATATCGAGCCCCTCGAATTACAGAAAGCCTTTATCCATCGACGCGCTGTAACGGCCGCTGTCTGTCGGTGCACACACAACGGAAATTGCCTCAGAGTCGTCGTCCTGCCCACGAATATCATCTTCGAGACCGAAAATATTTTAATTGGCCAACAGCGATATTTTCGACCATCTCCCTTGCACTGGCCAGAACCATGCGCGAAACGGATTGTAATTTCTTCTTCAAACAGCAATAAGAGGGGACGAGGACGTGTATGTACAGTGGGATTTTCGAGGCGATAAAGCGGCAACGATCGAGTCCCGGATAATTGATGGCTCCTTAACGAATCAACCCCATCGGCGATAATTATCGATACGATGGAAACGTATGTAACGAGGGACACTTTAATTATCAACCCGTCGAGATGCATGCACGATTTTAAAACAATCGATGGTACTTGTTACGGGGCCCGCACGGATCAGCTGCCCGACGAGATACGATCGGCCGATCGAGCCCGATAAATCTCTCGACGGCACAAAGGGATGATGGGAACGAGTCGTTGCAGCTCGACCGAACGGGGCAGATGGTGATAATAATTATTATACGTTTGTAATTATAATAACCAGGATTCCGTAATAGAATACACGAAGAAGGAACAGAAAATTACCATTATTTAATTATAACGTGAAAGGTATGAATTTAGCTTGCATTGGAAGAGCAAATATGATTTCTGAAAAATTTGAAATTTTTTTTATTATTCTTGTTTTATTATATTATTGTACGTTATATAACTCAATTATTATTCAAGATAATAACTTTTCTTTACTCTTCTGAAAATAGCAAAAAAGACCTCGGGTCGCAACCGACCCCACCTTACCAACTACGACCTTAAAACTCGCCCTACCATTCGAAGATTAAATTCGATTTTTTACGAGTGCATTTAGTCGATGAAATACGAGAAAAAAGGTTTCCAAATGCTGCTCGTTCGCGGAGGGAAAATCCGGGATACAGAAACGTCGCGGACAAGAGAGCAACTCCGAGCGACGCTCGAAATGTCAATAGTCCCCTGCTGTAACGTGGATATGCTTTTGTACGAAACCCGTACACACGCGTGCGCCGCCGGCACGTCACGTACCACTTATGCCAAAACGACAAGTTAATTGTTTTATTCAGTTTCGAAATGGAAACTGGGACGAGTAAATCCTCGGTGGGTCCAGGTATTATTCCGATGGACTATCGCGGTATCCATCGGTATCCGCGTCATCCCTCTTTGTATATTCAAAATAAATACTCCTCCCGAGGCAGGAACGTCGGTCGGTTTCTCGAATGGAAATATTGCCGCTTCGAAAGCTAAACTATCCCTTTCAAATCATCGCCAAAGTAAACAATCGCTCCGTCACTTTCGACGAAACGCCGCGCGTTTCTCGAAGCACGAACACACACACGATCTTGTGTATGTATGTATATGTAACTAACGGTAACTCGCCGCGCGGGAATTCGCCGTAACCGAAGGGAGAACACATCTGGGACGAAGGTTAACCTAACCCCGTACCGAAGAGCTTTTTATCGAATTATACATACATGTACGAAGTACGGAAAAGCTTGGGTAGATTCGACCGTGGAGGAACATTAACGCCGAGGGTAGCAGCCGCGAGTTGACGTCTAATTTTCACGAAAATCAACTGAATAGAGTAGGTCGTAAACGGGAGCAACGGCACCACGACGGCGAAGAATGGTGAAACCGGCGGGAGGACGGGCGGAACAGAGAGAAATGCTTGAATATCGGGGAAACGGTTATGCGTTTAAATGGGAAAAACCACTGGTGGGCTGAGCGCGTTGCACACGCATCCCGCATCCACCCGTATTATCTTGCAAGTTTATTCATCCGGTGGCAGCGAAAGAGAGAAGATAGGAAGAGAGAGAAAGAGAGAGAAGAAGAACACAGGACCGCGTTCCCCGGGTTAATTTGTGTGGCATCGCGATATGCTTTCAGACCGGCTAATTAATCGGGGTTATAATTAAAACCGCATGGAACGAATAACTTTGTTCGCGAACTTTTAACTGAGGATTGTTTTACGCGACGGCAGAAATTTACCTTGCCTGTTACCGTACCGAAAAGAAACTACCGCGAGGGTTTTACGTGGCTTTCGAACTGTGTCAATATCCTGAAGGCGTATACACAAAAGCAACATGTTTCACGGATAAAGTTTGGTATACTGGGTATAACCGGATACATCAGAGGAATAGCACACTGTTTAGCTCATATATCTATCGATTACTGGTTTTTGTACTTCCGGTAATCATTATAATAAGTCCGATACAGGATATATATAATATATCTTGAATAAACATTTTTAGTAAAGTAATTAAACTTTGGTTACACTTACCTGTCAATAAACCCATCTCCGTCGCCGTCGCATGCTTGGAACAGCTTCCTGACGCGTTCCTCGTCGCAGATGGAGCCTGCTTCACTCTCAGCATCCGCGGTCTGTGACATCTTCACTTCGCCTCTGGTTTATCCATCGTGAAGACGAACTATCGGCACACTACCCGGCTGTCTCGTGTCCATCTTTCCCCACGACTCAATCCTCCAAACTACGCGTCGTCGTCAAAGAGTCCCTTCTTTTCTCTATCCTCTTGCCCGCATCTCAACGTTCAGTTTCCCCCTCGTGTCGTCCTGGTTCGTCTCTCAATAAACCACCTTACGTCCCGATTCGAAGTCGCGAGTCCTTTGGGGTTTCACGGGGAAAAAAAGTGTTCTCAAATCGCGGCAAACACGTAGGGACGTGTATAATACAAAGGGACACACACACGGTGGATCGTTATGTCACGTGTTGCATCGCGATCCCCCATTAATCGATCCCGAGAACTGCATGTTCGAACCAGCTCGGAAATCGTGTCCGAAGAACGGTAAAGGTCTACGAACCTCGATGGAAGCGATGGCTATTTTTAGACGGTCGAAAACGGTATGTAGATTCCCTTGTTCCGGAGGACTTAGCTGGTGCATAGAATATAAACAGATCGACCTCAGGAGCGCGTGCCATTCTCTCGCGACGGTATTTTCGATCCTCGAACCCGTTCGTATCCTTTTAACCCGTTGTCCAGGGTCCGTGGTCGTTTAGACTTGTCCGTCTTGTCACTGTCCACCGCCCCCAGAAGGGTGAGACGGCGTTCGTCTTTCCGGTGTCACCGCACCGCGCACGCACGAGAACCCGTAACCGCCGTTTTCCAGTGTCACCGAGTCACTAACCCTAACCTCAAAACCGGACCGGAGACTCACCCACCCTCGCGAGCCGCACAGCGGCAATAAAAACTATCGATTGAGTGTCTCGCCGACGAAAAACTTTGACAGCTCGCGCCATCTTGAAATCCCACGATACGATAACGAAAACAAAGATGGCGGAGCAAGCTAGCCGGCGCTCGAAACGTTTCGACGCCCGCCACCAGATGTCGTTTTCGTACCGACAAAACGCATCTGTACCGGAAACGCGCTGCGGAAGCTTGAAAATATGTTACGCAACTGGTACGAATATGGAAAAATAACTTATGTTTATTGATGACACATTAGCGTTACCAATGTTTGCAGACACAGAAACATAACGAAATATTCTTTGTACACACGTATGACAGCATCGCGCGCTCGTCACGATTGTATAACTTAATGTAAATTAGTACTTTGTACAATAACGTTCTTTAGGAGTTTAACTTTTCAGCCACTGTAGGCGCAAGTTTCTTGAGTTTCCCTGAGTCGGGACTGAAAGCCCAGATTATACATCGAGTGTGTTCCTCGGTAGGTAAACCCTCTTGTTCGCCGTCCGTATGGAACCACGGAGATTTCTTCTCCTTGATCCCATCCACTAGACTTCGGAGATTCTTATTTCTTTCTATGTCCCAAGTAGTAGTTGAAGAATCTGGGACTTGAACAGTTCTGAGCTTCTTATAATCTCCATCCACGTCTTCGTAAGCTCTGCAAAATATAGTAAAAGAGATGTTTATATACGTGTTATTTTATGAATACGTTGTACACTTACTTGAGGAATCCGTTATCCTCGACTTTATATCTATCCACCAATGGTTTGAAAGCTCGCACCAGCTCAATAGGCAAATAGTTGAAATTATCTTTCGCCCGACCGTTCACGTTGTAATCCGTGATCCAATTCTCGAACACCTCGACAGCCTCTTTCATGTTCTTAATCTTTTGCTCATCCTTCGTAAGTGATATCACCCTTTCGGCTCTTTTCACCAAGCCAGCGATCGCGTGGTATTGATAAGTTACGTCCCTGTCTTTTAACGACTCGATGCTCCGCAAAGCGTTTTCCTTGCTCTTAAAACTGAGCCCATTCCCTTCTTTTTCGTCCTTGTTCTCATCGGATGTTCGCTTCACTATCTTTCTTTCCGGTTCTTCATCCTCCTCGTCGCTGCTGGATGAACTATCGTGACTCCTTTTCACGCCCTTGACCTCCACGTCAACTTCCATGTCCTCTCCATTCTCGGACCCGAATTTCTCTTCCACTTGGGATATTAGTTTCTTTACTTTCGAAGCGTCTGGACTGTAGCCCAGCATAATACATTGAACATGTTCCTTAGTGGGCAACCCTCGGAAATCGCCAACATCTGTTTCGAACCATTGTACGTGATCCTTTTTGACATTATCAATGATATCCTTTAACCTTCGATTCCTTTCAATGTCCCATGTGGTGTCCCCGGTCGGGATTTTTACTGCCCGTAAACTTTTGTAGTCCCCTTTTACCTTTCGATACGCACTGCAAAAGATCGATCGAACTGTCAACCGATTTCAACGGACTCGTAGTCATTAAGACGATCAGAGTGGATTCATAATTACTTGTAGAATTCATCATCCAGAACCTCGTACTTCTTGGCAAGTGTCCTGAAACCTTTTAAGGTTTCGATTGGCAGGTAGGCAAGATTCCCCTTGCCGCGATTGTTCTCCTTGTAATCGGCCAGCCAGTCGTTGAAGACCTCCAAAGCTTCCTTCAGATTGCCGAGCTTCTCCTCGTCCTTGGTGATCTGCAGCGTTCTCTTAGCACGGCTGACAAAACTTGTGATCACGTGGTACTGGTAATCCGATTCCGAGGACTTGGGTTTTCCCATGACTGAAATCGGAACGAAATCATGCCAGGATAAGGAAGAAATTTCGCCAAAACTCGAGCTATATCGGTAGACACATGGGGCTTGGTATCGTGTCACGCGTGTCGCGCCGTAAATTCGCGCGATCGATTGAATGGATTGGCCAATCACCAGAAGCGACAAAACAGAGGCGGAGAGACGTTCGATGAGAGCGACGTGACGCCAGCACGTCAGTTTTATCGTTGACGTAGTTTCTGGATTATGGAAGCTACACGCAGAGAGATCAATACAAGCCAGACAGCGGGCCAAGTGATATATTTGATGGTCATGGTTCCACAATTGTGATTTCCTATGATCTAGCAATCGAGATCGAAGAAACATCTGGAGCTGTGTCTCGACAAATAATGTCGGCATCACTTTATAAATACCTACTATGTATGATTAAAAATAAAAAAAGTCTTCGAAAATACTTACCAGAAATCTGCGTAAAGATCCACTTGTTGCTTGGTACAATGCAAATTTCACCGTATCACTGACACAGTATTATCTGATAACACGTTAACGCCTTCGATCGATCAAACTTTGTGAAGTTTCAGCGAAATCGAAGACCTGTTTCGTTTCTTTGAAACGGATAAACTGACACTGGTAGATTCACCGGGAGCCGGCTTATGTCGGCGACGTTTACCAGCAAGACATCACTGATCTGGTAGAAGAAGGACGAACCGATGGCTTCGAAGTCGAACGAAAGAGAGAGGGGGCGACATAAACATATCCACTATGTGTCACAGCCCGAAATACGCGGTCGACCTCACGATCAGTCCAATGGTCTCTGGCTTACGTCACGGTCTCGTAATATTCTTGTGGAAAGAAAAACCGTACGGAAAGTAACATTACTTCCAACGTCCGAATAATGTGTTTAGGTCAAGCGTACGAATGCTTATGCAAATTGGCAGTTAGCTATCAGCCAACACAATCCTCCGTTGTTCCTATCGTGTCGCTGACATAACACGATAAATTTGGCAGTAACAATTGTTCAACAAGTAACGCGCGTCACACACTCTCAAAAGAATCCGAACATGGTATTCTGATAGAGATTTATTTGATATTTACAGAAATTACAGCGTATCCAGCGGTGAACTACTCGAACTCGCGCGCGCAACAACGATCACAAGCGATTAGATCCTCCGGATTACAGGTTCCTCATCCCACCTAATCATCTGTGTTCCTATTATCGAAATCTATGTACATGATCCACAGAACACGCGATCCAATTACGAGCGTTTGCGGTCCACGTTAGATAATTGTCGCACGAACATAATGAGCTACGGTAGCTTCCATAGTGGGTTTAATTATTCTACCGTTTGTATCTAACACCGCTAACGAATTCTCAGCTAAATTCTCATCTCATGCTACCGACTGTAAACGTGTACAATTATCAACATTTGAATCGCGTGTTTTACCCAGATATTCATACACGTTATTTACGTCGTTCTTTCAGACGTGTGTGTTGTGTAAAAATAGAGGGTGATTTATGACTGCAGTAGGGATAAAATCGATTGATTACCCATAACCGATGAGCAATTATTCCAGCCATACTATTCGAAGTGGCTTTGAATAAGTAATTGATTCTATTCGAACTGCAGTCAATCTACAGCTTGTCGTTCTCTGATGGAATCGGTGTTCAGCAGACGCAGCTCCCCACACCGAGGCAGGCGTACGAAGTTTGCTCGATCTTCGAGCTGGTGGTGGTAGCGTCTAGCAAGGTTGGCTGCGGAGCGGTCGGTAATTGAGGTCTCTGCACGCCCTCGTATAAAATCGATGACGGTTCTCGGTCCCTGCTGATACCGTCGGTCTCCTGGTTATAGGGGATCCTTGGTAACTCTTGGCTCCTCGATTCCGTCGACGTGTCGTGGGACGAGAGGCGACCGTAGTTCAGGAAGGTCTCCGCGTAGCTCGACGGTGGATGATGATGGGTGCCGTTGTACTCGTGCGAATAATGAGGATGATACCTGTTCGGTGGTGTCTTGAAGCCGTCGTTACCGCCGAGATACTGATGGAGATGGTGCAAGCTGGACGATCCGTATACTATCGAAAGGAAGTGGTCGAATTTCAGTTACCCATAATATTTTGATAGCTAGTTAACCTTTCGATGGGAATATTTTTATTTACAGTACGTTCATTAGGTACTCAAAAGGCTAACCTGCTGCAGTGTTGGAGTACATAGCGAGAACCGCGTCGCCATAGCCAGTAGTAGGATGCTTTCCCAAGTCAGACACATCGTTTGTAGCTGACATTTTACTTATAGAGGAACCCCGAACGCCATTCTGGCCCTCACCCGAAATATTCGACGAGCCACCTGCGCCGTACGCCATGTTGAAAAGAGCTTCGGGATCGCACACGAACTTGTAGACATATCTCTCGCCCGCCACCTTCTGCATTATCCCTTTCTCGTAATAGTACCTCAACGACCTGCTCAGTTTATCGTAATTCATCGCTGGACGATTCTTCTGGAGACCCCATCTACGAGCTACCTACGAAAACCATCGAAAGACAAACGTTTAACATCGTGTAAGTCTTGATGAATTATGAAAAACTAGCTCTTTTGGTATACTTCTTCCGGTTCTATAAGCTTGAATTCCATTCCGCGACCAGTCCACGCGATACACGGTGCGTTCGCGGGATCATCCAACAGGGTCACCAAGAACTGCCAGAGCTGAAGAGATCCCCGTCGTTGCTGTTGATAGCCGACGGTCATCTCGCTCCACGGTGACACCCCCGTCGCTGAGGATGGCCTTTTACCAGGATAATCCGTGTTCCACGATGTAGGCGACCCTTTCTTCTGGTAGCAATTCCCCTGTCTCTCCCACGACGAGTTCCTACCGTCTAATTGAACCCCTAGCTCGGTCCACGTGGGGGTCACGCTTCTTTTCCCGTACACATCCGAGCTCCAGTTCTCTTGTCGCGGGAAGAAACTATCCGTGGACGCTGAAATTGTCGACTGCCATTGGGAGGCAGCTGAAGACGTGCTGGCTGGTCGATTTGGCGACGGTGAACCTCTCGTGGTTCTCGTCCCGTTTCCATACTGTTGCTGGTAGACCAAGTTGTTACCTACGAGGAAGTGATTATCGTTCGATGAATTATCTTTAGGGAATATCATGAGTTTTCAGATGAAATTAAAAGGGACGATCGATGAAGCATGGATTCCCTGACGCGCAAGACGAGCCCAGTCGTGGTAGCCCAAAGAACGAAAAAAGAAAAAGAACGGGCGACGTATTAGCGATTGCACTCACGCGCGGTTGCCGGTGAAGTGCTCGTCACACAAATATCGGCAGGAAATTGGTTGATATTCAAAGCCCACGGGGTTCCCCGGCCTCGGATCCAGAAGCTACGCGGATGGCGCGGCAACCGCCTGAAATACCGCGGCTGAGCTTGGCGCGATATGTATATTAATCGGGGCGCGCGCGGTCTCTCCGTTCTCCCGGTCGAAGAGCACACCAATCCCACCCCGTGGTCCCTCGAGCCGAAAAAGCTATTCTCGAGCACCCCGTAATCCGGTTACGTTCGAAGTCGCGTACGGGGAATATTGAAAAATTGAGAACCCTCCTCCTCCTCCTCCGATATCGAGCCGGAACGCGGATGCGACGCGCGGGACACTGGCTCCGATACTGCGTTCGCCTTTTTGCAACGGCAATTAAACTGTCGCCCGATTCTTTTGATCCACGAAGGACTGAGCTTTTTAATGTTTCTACGGACAGGGGCGCCTGGGTCCGGTTCGATTATGCTCCCTTTTTCGTAGACATAATTTCGATGACAATTATTTAGGAAGATCTGCTTGCTTACATAATACATAATCTAATACGGATAACTCCTAGTTTAAATTAGATTTATAACTCTCAGACTTCCTTCCTTCGTTTCTACGTGTAAATGCTGCTTTCGGCTATAACCGACTTGGCATAATAATCGAATCGGTGAAAAAAATCGTATCGTCTGAAGTGGCTGTTAGATGGAGCTTATGAACTCGGGTCCAGAAAGACCCAGGCATCATCCTCCTAGGCTTAAACGTGATCCCTTCGAACCTTCGATTCTTCTATCGTCTACGCTGAGATTGATCGGTAAGTATAAATTGTATGAAAAAAAAGAAGCAAAGTATACACCGATATCCCTTCTAGTCCTTCCATTAACCACCACGTCCCAAGGCCCCTTTTTGGGTTTTTCATACCGCGCGGTAATTACGGTGGAAATCTCAGTCATTGAAGAAAATCAACAGGAAGGGTTACCCGTGGTTAATCGTGTCGGCAAGTTAGCTTTACCTTCCTAGCCGGCAAACGTCGGTCGGGATACCGATCCTCGTGTAGATGAGACAGACAGGGATTGAAGGGGTGATGGAGGCAACCGGGGGAGGGAGGCTTGCAAAGCCGCGGGCCAATCTGGCACTCTCTACGACGAGGTGGAAGGGGGCGAAAGGGGTCGACCTCAACGTGCAAGCGGGACCAGAGGCTTTGCGGGTAGTTTTAGATTAAAATTAATCGCGAGCTGATGAAACCGGTGGCGATGTACCGAGCAGGAAAAGGGTTGAAGCCTGGGGACTGGTCAGGGGCGGTGCGCAGAAGGGTTGCACGGGAAAAGAGGACGGGCCTCCACTCGTCCACTCTCAGAAGAGAAGCTTCGTTCTTTTCTCTTTCTCTATCTTTCTCCGTTCCTCTCATAGCTTCTCCTCTTCCTTCCTCTCGTACTCTCCCGTATTCTGGTTCCCTCTTCCGCCACCCACCCCGATCTCTTTGTGCCTCCATCTCTGTCTAGCTGATCCCCCGAATTCCGGAGTAGAGGCCGGTTAATAATGCAAGCTCCATTTTCCACCAACCTGACGCGCCGAAACGCTCTGTCCTCGTCTCTCTGTCTCTGGGAATCCCACCGACAAACGGTTTTGCGCTGGCGATACACCAACAGTCGCGGGACCGATCGGAATCTTTGTGTGTAATTAATTCAAGACGTGATACATCTGTCGTTCAACGCTTTGTTGGGTTTTGTGTTTTCAAATATACAACTTTAGGTGTTCTGAAAATATTTAGAAACTACTACGGAACTTTTACGATTTTTCCCTAGTTTTTAGTATTCTGATCCTTATTTAAGAAAGACGTACTACCACGTTAACCGCTCTCAGTTTTTGCTCTTGGAAAGATGTGCTAATATGTCATTCGACATCAAAATGTTAATAGATTCATTCGAACTTCTTCGTCGCGGTGTAATTTTCAAGCGGTCCGCCACAGCTCTCTATGATGGTGGTATGGGATCTGACCACCTGTAATCCCCGTGATCCTCGTGCTCGTATTAATTAGTAGGGCGGCGACCAATCTGTAGCCATTAACAGGTTATTACTATTCCACCCGATACAATCAGACTCGGATCGTCCGACCAGACAAAAACATATATGCTTGCTACCATTGAAAATTCACTCGTCGATCCACATCACGCACGATCGTCGTTCTTTTTTTAAGAGCTTACGAGAGCAACCCCTTTCGTCTCCAGAGGAAATTGATCGAGCCACGACATATGTGTCCGGGTGGTATCGATAACAACGGATAGGTACGATCCTATTATTAATCTAAACTGCGTGTAAATAATTGAAACGGCTTAATGGTAAGGGAGGAATTACGCGAAGAGAAGTAGAAGCATAATTCCCGGGTGACTTGGAAGTAAATGGGTAATACAGGCCCGCGTGGCCGCTGTGTCGAGCCCGACTACTATAGCAGGCGATGGAGTTCCTAAAGGATTCGTTTCGTGTTGCTTGAATAAAGGAAGACTAATCGGTCTGATTACAAAGCATGAGCTTGCAAACCCTAAATCGCCGACGCTTCACCTTTTACGGGGTCATGATCGTACGACGTCCACCTTCGAAGCCTATTAAGTAATGGAGACCCTCTGTAATCTAGGAGAAGCGATGTTTCTATCGACGAATATCCATTGGTAACTCCATTAACGTGATATCGTTAACAAAATGGTCTAACGTGTTCAGTACGGATTGGTACAAATTCTTGGAAAACGTTGATACGTCTCTCGAAACATCGGGAATTTCAACCAAGGTTTTTCCTGTTCAGAAGAAATCTCCTGCAGTCCTCCCTCGGGAACCGAATTTCATGCTCTTTCCTTCGTTTAGCAGCTTTCCCTGGATTCTACGAGCCGGTCTCTCTCTCTCTCTCTGCAGCTTTCGAGTTGAAAGCATTCTTCAATTATTCACTTACGTGTACTTAGTCACGCGTGAGCGAGTCCAGCGCCATTCAGCAGCGACGAAAACCCATTGGTCCCGGATTACTGGCAAGGGTGTTCTCGTTGAAACGTATATTATTATAACATAAATTTGTTATAATAATTATGTATGTGTATATTTTATGCGAATCGACGTATCAAAACGGTAACGCGATCTGTATATTATTAATTACAGTCAGAGGATTAGACAACGGAGCTGGAAGCGAGGCGGAAACATTCGAAGAACAGAAAACCGGAAGAAGACCTCGTGAGCGAAGGTTCGATTAATGGACGGGAGCATCACCACTACTGTGCCCCAGTTATTTATGGGGACCCATAGGGTGGCACGGCCGCCACGTGGATCCATTGTCGAGAGATTTGTCACGGTGTATACACGTTCAAGAAGAGGGAATCATCGTGACAGAAAGCTCGATTTGTCGTAGCGGATCGAAGGACGAAGTCCTCGTGCATTAACTGTCGAATGATTCGTCTCATGATACTAGTAACGATCTCAAAAAAAAATTATTCGTAACTTACTGTTCCTTGTGTCCTGGGCTGTCGTCGTGGGTACGTTTGGAATCGGTTCCCCGTATCCTCGATCCGCCGGTTCTTCCTTCACAGCGATGCTTTTCGTCACTTCGTTTCCTCGCTTGCTGCTTCTACTCAACAGAAACATAAATGTTATCTCTTCATTTTCAATATTCTTGTAAGTACTTTCGTAAATTTTTTCTTTTTCTTAGTCTCTATAGAGGCCTGTAGAGTTTTTGACGAATTTTGTTAAACTTTCTGTATTACTCTAATCTTATTGGATTGGTCTTGGTCTCAAATATTACTCCACTCTGATAAAAATATGTAGTTCCATCTTAAAAAAACACGGATGACCTTGAAATTTGGTGTTTGCTCCTTCCAACTAAATAATACTCTTCCCCCACATTATTCGTATCTTCAAAAACAACCAAGATATTGAAAGGGCCACCCTGTATTGTACCAAATGTCTCGTGACCCGTTCATAAATAAGTATTATTATTTTGTAAACCATAAAGATGCATCTGTTTTACCCGAAGCAGTTCGATCGATCAGGATCGAGATCGAGAAAGGTGCTGTTCTGGCCGTGCGGATGGCTGACGGACGCTTGATACTGCGCGTAGTTCGTATCGTTGATCCTTCTACAGTTCGCGGATTCTTGTTTCACATTGGAATCTGCAAAAGGAAGAGAAATGTCTTTTTTTTAACGAGAGATCCAAAAGCACCAAGGGAGGGTTGTATAGACGAGAAGGGTCGATGATTTTAACTGTCGCGAGGACATTCCTCGCATACGATTAGCTTTTGTGTATAAGATCGTTTCGAAGATCGAAGGGATCGTATCGGCGCGTGTCCTACCGGAAGCAAAAGGCGCATCGTTGCAGCGGCACGTGGAAGGGAGGGGGGTGGCGGTGGTGGGTCCGCTCGTAATGGGGCCGTCGACAATTTTGGGCGGCTCTGAGGGGTGCGTCCCCCAATAAATCAAACAGACTCGGGGGCCGTGGGAAGCATAAGTCGAAGGCCTCCGGCAATCATTGTATTTGCAAACATCGGAAGTTTGCTTGCTACGGGAGTACACCGCCGACTCGATCCCGTCGAAAGAATCCATCGAAATTCTGTGTAATCGCGCGAACAAGGCTCGACGATGGACACGTTTCTCGTCGACCGCGGAAACGGTCCAGTTTAAGAGAAGCATCCGGTAAAATTTTTTGGGAAAATCGATTTTCTTTATTGAGCATTTTCATCGTATAACTTCTCACAAACGCTGTGTCGAAGTTACAGTCAAAAATTCGCAGAAGTTTAGATTCTGCAAGCATGTAAATGACACTGACGTGTAGCACTCGAAAGATTAGATCCGGAAGTACAAGAAATAGTAAACCCAGAATATGAAAGTTTGACTTCGGATGAAATTTTAACACGTTGCATAGAAAGAAATATTTAAAATTTATGTTTTTAGGAATCTATCGAGTGAAATGTATTCACTTTGTCCGCGGGACCATAAGATAAAACCCGAAATTGATGTCGATAACGATCGAACGGAATGAAAAAATCGGAACGAAAAAACAGGGTTTGTTCCACCTCGATTCACTATGTTCGGGTTACAGACCGATATATAGCGGGCGTAACAACATCCGGTAAACAATACCTTGAATAAAAGTTTATTGATAACTATAGGTCCGGTGATGAACGTGTTTACCTCGCTGCGCGGCTCAATTCCGAGTGTTTGCGCAAATATTACGTACACACAAACGTAGAGAGGAGAGGCGGTCGATCGGTCTCGCAGCCGCGGAACATTGAATAAAATTAACGGGTAAAGAGCAAATTTGACTTTGTAATATATATATATATATAGTTCATTACAACTGTACAATATTCGATAATAGAATATTGTAATGGCTTGTGTTCCATTTCGATTTTATTGACATCGGTAAAAGGAAAATATTGTTTAACATATTACGCGTTTTTTTCCTACATTTTGGACACCATATGTGGTAACTTTCTTTTCGTGTGGTGAATTAGGGAACACTTTAGCTTCTGCCAGTTATCGTGGAGAAATTTCTTTATTAGATCAACGCCATGCACCGCCGAGATAGAAACGGAGCGTGTGTGTAAGCGAGCATATAGACATTATCTGTCGCTCCCTCTGGCCGTTTGCTCATCTATTCCAGGGGCGTATCGAAATATTTGCCGGGATTCGCCATAACCGTATCGAAAACGGTGCGTCGAAACTCTCCCCGTGAAACGAAGTTCCGCGGGGATTCTCTTCTCGCGCGATATTAAATCGGCGCTCCTATAATCATCATGATCGGTCGACGTTTCGAAAGGAAAAACAGGGGAAAGAGATAGAATGAGAGAGACGGAGAGAAAAAAAAAGATAGAGGAGCCCTCGACTTAATATAAAGTGCTTCCTCGTGTAACGCGGGCGTATCGATAATCGACGGGAGTCTTCCGTTGATTCTTTCATGCCGTGTTTTAAAAACATCAGCCCCGGGCAGTTTGTTGCCTTTTTTAATAAAGCCTCCTATATTGGCTACAGCGTGACGAGTCGCGCAACGAAACTTCGTTAACGAGTGGAATCCTGAACGCAGGACCGATTTTCGATATTATTTTTCCGAATCTGAACGAAAAATCATGCTTCCTCGAGATTCAAACGTATGTGTGTTTTTTTTTGCGGTGTTCTTCACACAGAGAAATGAGTTGGAATTCTGTGCGAGACGGGAAATGTTTCTTTCGAGATTGCGATTAAATTGCATACGCTCGATACATTTCCGTGCAGTTTCCGTTTCCATGGGGATTGACTTCCTTTCGCGTTGCATACGCCTCTACTTGATGTTATCGGAACGTAGCAATTAGGTGAGGTAACCGGGGAAATTCGCGACTGATCGAGAAACTGCATCCGTGGAGGAAATTCGTGAGAATCGAAGAAAAAATTTAAAAAGAAAACTGTGCAACTTGAACATACTGTGATAATCCGGCACGTATTGCTCGCTGTCCTCTGTATCGCAGCTGCTACCTGTAATGTAATACATACGAAGTGCAATGTTATCGATCGTTTGTTAACAAGTCGGAGAACGAAAGGAACGGTGCGCGGATGATCTTAAGTTAATGGTTCGACTGACGTGTCCACCCCTCCCAGGGGGTGAATATAGATTATTTTTCATGGACGGACCTTGGATATATTATATCCCCTCGTTATCGTTGTTATTACATTGCAGCCACCGTGCATTACATTACAGTTCGTCAAAGTAATTAAAATTAATGTTCCGGTTAGTGGTCGGCCACTGTAGCTAATCGTGTTCGAGGAAGATTTACGGACGGCTCGGTAGCGGCTTTATATTGCTCGATAAATGAATCGTTCCTGTTCATTTTAGAGAAAAAAATGCAATGTCCGCATGATTTTCCTACTTATAATTAGTTCATAATATTCCCGATAATTCTAAAAAGGGACTAAGATGGACGTCATATGTTTGGAAAGTATTGAATACGTTGTTTCTTCCATAATATAACAGAAGTCCCGATAATGTAATGATTATGTGTGGAAGTTTATGCAAATTCACAATTCTAGATAATAATATTTCAAAATTAATATAGAGCAGAATTTGGATGTTTGTACAGGCTTCACTACGTTAATAATAACACATGAATAAAATAAAACTTTATTAAAACCTTTATTTTATTGCATTTTGCAAGTTAAAAGGTGTTATAAATGCATAAACATCCGCAGTGTAGACAGGAAAAAAGAATTTTCATGTAATAAGATTTATATAGAAAAAAAAATCCGCCCGAACAGGGACTCGAACCCTGGACCCTTAGATTAAAAGTCTAATGCTCTACCGACTGAGCTATCCAGGCATTGCATACCCGGGCACCCCGAGTATTATTTATTTTTATATTTATTTCAGTGGACAATTGCATGTTTGTTCTCGAGACGAACATGTTTATTTATAACAAATGTTACTTACCATCATGAAGCCAAGATTCTTGCCTGTATTCCTGCGTGGCGTATATTCCGTTCTCTGTAATATAAATTCACGTCCTTTTAGGCAGCCATTGAATAAAATATTAGCCTAATTGAAACGTATTAAGGGAGCGTTTATTAAACAATTCATTTTACTGGAAAATTAGCTACTCAGTTCTGTAGACGATTAGGCAACTAGATTTGAGGTTGTGTTAATTCCTTATCAATCTTGTGAATACAGATTAAAGCTGGGATTTCGTATCAGTGTCCGACACGCGTCTTTGGATGTATACGTTAACAACATGCAACTAAGCGAGACATAAATATTTCTGATTTAATTCTTGTGGAGTCCACGTAACGCACACGACTGACGCTGATGGGAAGTCCCGGTAAAGAAGATAATAGTACCGATAAAATAATATAGTATCGATCAATTGTTGAATTTTAAATGCGAATGATTTATAATAAATGCACGTTTATGCAAGGCTAGTTTTCTTAGCGAAGTAAGGAATTAGCTGGTAGGCCAGGATATCTGTATTTACGGCATAATGATTAATGGTTACTCGGAAATAATTATGCCCCTGCCGAAATTAATGCCTCATACATTCTAACGCGTTGCTTCGTCGACTTCGATGAAGATCCATTATATGAGTCATCGCCCAGACCGACGCTGGAAAATAAATGTTTTCCTCGTGTATCGTATATCACCGTTTTAATCAATATTTTTACCAAATTCTATACTCTTTTGTGACGAATAATGGGTATCGACGTAAAAACCGAGAAAACAAAAGGGCACTCGGACCAGTTAAGAGTATAATCTTTCAACCGTAAAAATATTTCCCCATCATTGTATCGCGATGAAACGCGATATCTGGGGCGTGATACGATTTTCGTACGAAACGAAGAATAAGAATGAACACAGGCGGAAAGTAAGGGGAGATGAATCAGTGACAAAAACAACCCCTTCAAGGCGAGCGTGGTGTTGTATACGGAAGAACACCGATGGAAATGTATCTATCGGTGGGGTCCCCGTTTAATGGGCCTCTAGGATTCGCCACGGGTAGCCACTTGTCAGTAACCTCGTTTTGTTCGTGGTCACAATCCCGTCCGACGAATCGAATTTACGTTAGCCTACGTGGGATAATAAAGTGTTCCACTTCGCGGCAACGACGCAAACTTAATATAACAAGTCTGTGATGTTCCCCGAGGGCCATCGGTTAACCACAGGCGACATATACACACATAAAAGTATTCTACTCTGTTGCACAGCAGCGCAGTTTGTACGCGATATCGTTAATAAAATCGTGACGAGGGATAATGCCTGACAAGCCTACGCATTCACTACAGCTCGGACAGATTGCATCATACGATCTTCCATCGGGGATGATATTCTTTCGAGGTTCAGTAACAACGATACGTATCAGCTTTAAGAAAGATTCCATTCGTAAAATAGACGTAAATTCCAAAATCGTATGGTGTACAGAAACGAAAAGGGAGTCGAGAACGTTAATTGTTCTATCTCCACTAGTTTCTAAACTAAGGAAACTGAGTTCAAAGTTTACGAAGTTTAATATTATAGAAGCAGGAAAGTAGTGAAATAATCAAACAAACTATAATATTATCTACTAAATACCTATTTACTGCTACATTTAACAAAATTTTATTTTATCACCGACATAAATTTTGTATTGTTGTCTGTATTTGCAGATACAACAATTAACAATAAAAAAAAACTTTAAAAGTTTCGGAGTTAGAACTTCACAGAATATTTGTTGGACCAACAAGACGCACGTTGATTGGTTATCTAAATTTTTCTGAAAAATGAAGTTAGACCAGTTAAGAACTCGTGTAGACGATATTTCTTCGCGGGTAGAATCGTCGTCGAAATGTGAATGGAAGACGCGGGGGACGGGCGTAACGCGATTACGATAGAGAAATTGCAGCATTATAGGCTGTGATTGAGTTAGGCGGAGGCGGTCCATCCCTGACTGGTGGTTCGCGCCACGACATGCCGATGTTAGATATAAAGTGTCAATCACCGTGCCCAGACACCGGTGGGGTGGTTACACGAATCCTATGGGGGATACACACACAGCCGGCATCGACAACCCCCGCGGGGGCTCTTTGCGGCGATAATACGTTGCTTATTGAATTCGTCTTACGGCTTCTCGTCGTGCGGTTGGATTTCTGGGTCAAGGCTAAAGTAAAACATCCGATACCGAACCTGCCGAAACAATCAATCGAACGAAATGGGGTCAATTATCTGCAAATGAATTGCCTAACAACTAGACATACAGAATTCACGTAAATTGAACAGTTTGTATTCTAATTTAACAACTTCTTACCGTAGCTATGGGAATCAGTTTTGATCAACGATCGAGATCGAGCAGTTACGGAAGATTTTCGTAACTGTCGATTCGCCTCGAAACGTAATTGCAGCCAGAATCCGAAGAAAATAATGTCGTCCTTGATGCGACTATATAAAGATATCGACTCGACTGCCTGCCTGCCAGTGACAGCCTCTCTTCAGGGGGTGGTGGTTCCCTCTTCGTAACCCCCTTCTCCCCTGTTTGTACATAGTTCATCCTGCACGTGCTTCGAGGCGCGTCTTGCTCTCTGTGTATTACTTTCTTCGTGTACTGATCGCGACGTATGTTCGTGTTCGCCCCGAGACTTCGTGTCACGCCGAGGACTCGATGTTCCGGGGGTAGGGGGGGGGGGAGGCAAGATCGTATCAAAGAGCTTCAAAATCGTCGACGCGCGGGGGTGGGAGGAAGGACGGCGGTTCGAACGGACCGCCCTCCGCGACTTTCTTCCCTCGATCTCACCGCCGAACTCCACACGCTGGGTACCCGAGTAATTTGAAGTTGATCAAAACGCCCGTCCATCCCTTCGACGGGAGCATTTTTTTACGTTCTATATATTCACGCTTTTTAAATACAACTGTGGGTTACAACAGACGAAAATCGTATCGCCTAGATGGAATGCATGTGATAGAAAGTAATGGTACGGAGAGTATGTAAATAGAAATTGCATAAAAATTTTGACACCTAATTGGTGTTTCAGAAGTCATTGTATCTAAGGACATAAAAATTACAAGAGTACAGGAAGATATACTCTGAAGGACACAGAAACAGAACTGCAAAGCACCTACTGGCCGAAACGCTTTATAGCAAAGTGAACGCCAGAAGATTAAATAGGAAACACCCACAAAATCTCGTTAAGAGATAATATAATGATGCACTTGTAAAGATGCTGCTTCAATGATAACAGCACCCACACGTTACCCCTAAATAAATAACACAACAACCTGCCGAATGTCCAATTGTTGAATGGACAAATTGTATGTGGTTAAAAAAAACATACTTACCGGAATGCAGCTTCTCCTCGGTGCTCGGCTGGGCCACCGTGTAATTCGTGGGACAGTATCCAGCGGCGACTGTCTGAAGCGGTTCGCTCAATCTACTGAACTCTTCGCCGGGCTGAAAAACACACACACAAGGTTGTTTATACTCGGTGGAAATATCGATTTTTTTTTCTAGAAAAAGTACTCGACATTCGAAGGGATTTCAATAACCGCGAATCGACGCGGAAAGAATTTTTCTGTATCGCTCGGATGGAAAATTCGTTCGGTCGTTTTTTTTTTTCTCTGCTGGAACGGGTGAAAAACGGAGGTGGGTGACAATCGGTCGCCGAGATCGATGTAGAACCCGAAGAAAGACGGGAACGAACATGGTGATATTCGGAGGCAAAAAGGTGTAGACCAGGAATCGGATTTTAAGTGAAAGCAGCACAGGCCTGCCACAATGAGAAAGAAGAGAAGTGAGAAAGGTAGAGGGAGAGAGAAGCCGCGAGAGGAGACAAGGAGGACATCCGGTGAACGATTGGATGGTTTCCTCCTTGCGGAGCAATCTAGTGGTAAAGTCAGTTACCGGTTTTGGAAATTCCAATAACGCCGTGTCGCCGTCTGCTTTTCCTTCGCGGAGTTTCGCTGCGGCCTTCGCTGATCGCTTACACTTTAAAATATGAAAACAAAAAACGACGTCGCTTTTGTTCTCGCGAAACGGTGGATGCATCTTGATTATTGTGGATGGAAATTATTTATCGAAGAAAAAAACAAAAACAATTAATTTTGATCCGAACTTTTTTTCAATCAATTTATCAACTGCTTTCAGTTTTTCTCGTACATTTAATTCGGCAGGATATTATCGTTTATAAAGGACATAATCGACTTCCTTTTTCGTGGCACCCGTAGCTCGGGTCTTACGTTCATTGCCACGTCCCCTGGATTTCTCCTCTGATTGCAATTAATAGTCATTTATAATTAGTCCCTCCGTGATGGCTCAGCACTCGTAATCCACAAGCTGTGCCCTCTAATATAAATTTTAATTACATTCCCCCGATATTACGTTCAATCTTTAATCCCGCCAACCCGATACGAGAAGGTACCAATATTCGTTCGGATGACATCGTTGAATGAAGGGATGAAAAATGTACACCGTGTCAAAAATTAGAATTGAAGGATCAACGGATGTAATGATACATTTGTAATGATCCAATCATATACCTAATTGTATGTACTTGGACAAAAGATTACATACTATAGAAGACAATGAAACATTGAAACGGATCTACTTAGGAGTTTGAAAAAGTTCCGATGGATTCAGAATCGCTACAGTGAACGGTCTAACGAATTCACCGACGTGATTTCAATCGAATCCTCCCTCGAACCCTGTACTATAAAAGCGAAATCCCGGATCGTAATCTCACCGATCAGAAGTTAATCGTGTGCGTACGCGAAGCAATGACTCGTAAGGAAAACGTGCAAACATGGTCGCGTGCCGTTCGACTTTTCCTCCCTCCCTTTTTCACTATCTTTCCCCTGACCTTTCCCATCGTGTTCCCGTGTAAAAGACGAAGCGTTCTCGTGGATGGACCGTTATGGTGTACGTGTATACGAGCAAACGAACGAGGTACGTTTCTACCTAGTGAAAACGAGAAACCCATGAATCTAGGAGGGGTAGGGGAACGCCCCATCGTTCCCGATGATGCTGCAAGAGAGGGGTCGTCACCCCAATTCCTTTCGTACACCACCCTCGTAATTGCGCACTTCGGTTCGGTTTATAATAAAGTCATCGAGCAGACAACACGTTCCAAACAGAATCCCCCAATCTGTCGGTAGGATCTCGACTGTTCGCGGATAAATTCCGCCCTTTAGGGATGAAAGAACAAGATTATCCGGTATCTTGTGCCGTGTTAAACGATGTTGCCGTCTCCACTGCTACCATCGGATAAACCCATTCGGTTCCCAGTTTCGAGAATTCGAAAGGTGCGTGACACACGTATCGAGAGGGTGAACGGAAAGCACGACCTTTTCATTAACGATCCAATCTGAACGAAGAGAGTCGTCGTCCAATTCTATCAATTAGGAGAGGCAGAGAAGGCGTGTTGCTCCACTTGGAGAAAGCCGCCTCTCCCTTATTTTTTCCTTTCCGTCGCGACGACGATGGAAGAGGGTGCGAAGACAATGACGGTTTCGAAGGTCGAAACACTAACAATGCGAGATAACAGGACAATGCACATGATCACAGCGTGTCACCGTAGACCTCTATCTGCTAATTGCTCTCGTCAGCGTCCAGAAACGCCGCTAAGAGGTTTCTTTTTTTTTTTTTTTATTTTCACCGCGGGAAAGAAACAGCGTCGCTCCGTTTGAACTTCCCAATTACGATTCGGTGACACGCGTGGCTTTCGATTCACGAGGGGGGAGGTGTTATACCTTGTCCCAGGTAGAATTTTTCACGGTGTAACACGCGCCCTATGGTAGATATAGAAGGGGCCCCGTAATCATGGGAAACTCGAGTGGCAGCATATGCTCTCCGTATAGGGAGAGGGGAGGTGGGAGTCAATTAACCACCGGCCTAGCTACGGGGCGGGTGTGTGGGAATCGAGTGATTTTTAGAATCAACAAACATAAATCAAGTGTTTCCGCGAACGGGCACTGTCGTCTCCCTTTGTTCATAGACGAGGGTGACCACCCACGGTTTGCATGTATCGTAGTCACTGTGGTGTTCTCCGACCCCCACGCAAGGGGGGAACCAGGAGGGTTGAATGGTGGCGACAATTACGTGTTTAGGGGGCACAAAAGGGGTGGCACCCGTGGGACGATCCATCGGTGCGTGGTGGCGCGTGCCACGGCAATTCGACACTCGAGGATCATCGCGCGAGTAGAGTGCATTATACGTTCACTGGACCTAGCTGACTGCTGTCCACGGTTATGACTCCATTGTGTCGTCGAGTGGCTTAGGGGAGACCGGAAACGTGAGCCACGTTACCGGAGCCGAAGCTTCTAGCGGCTTTTACCGGGCCAGTTTCTAATGTTGACGATGGTTACAGGTAGGTTGGATGATTGTCGTCCTGGCTTAGTCACGATCAACGTTTATTTCATCCACGTTAGAATAATATTCCATGAATTCTATACGGTAATTAACAATATTCAACGAAACACGTGCACCTGAATGAGCGTACAACGATCGGGCATGTATTTGACATTGTGCTAGGTGTAAATTTTGAAGTGTCATTGTAAATTAATCTATGGTACACTTATCACGTATTAATATGCAATATTCTATTAATTCAGAGCTCCTAATAGATTAAATGTACTTTCTCTTACCAATCTGGCCAAGTCCGTAACTGCAGCGGGCACCTCTTGATCCTGATTCATCCTCGTCCACCACAGGTCCCCACGGTTGTTTTCTCGCGAATGTTTGTCACCCACGTTCCGCGAAACGACACACGATTACGGTATCCGATATTCTAAACGAAAATCACCGAGCCGTCGCTCGTATTTTTCTGGTCACGTTGCTGCACTGGCAAGATCAAAGATAGGACTGAGACGAGTGATTTGATCTCGGCGAACAGTGAAAAGATAGGGTGTATACATCAGGGGGTTGTGTCTACTGTACGTCTCCGCCCCCAACGTGATATAGAAATCAGCCCTGCGCGGGCTACCCCGACTAGGGGTTGCTTCCAACCCCTACTTGGTAGGCGGAGCCTCAAAATCATTGGTGACCTTCTCTCATCCTACGTAGCTTCCTGCTTTCAGAACACCTACGAGAACTCCTCTCCGCGTCGAGCTTTTCTGTTAATCTTGCGAATTGCATTTCTGACTCCGCACGACGATAAACTCCGATCTGAATTGCATGGGCGATCGATTGTACACGAAAAGATTAAGATTTCGTTCCTGCAAAAGTATGAATTGTTGAAATGTTATTGACTCATCGGTGCAACAACAGAATTGCGTAGCGGAAATCAATATGAAGAGCTTAATTTTATTGCTACTGAATTATGTACCAGAGAGTGCATCTTAGTAAGTTTCTAATGTATAAGTGTCATAAGTTTATGAAGTATGAAAATGTATTTATAATTGCATATTAATTTGATTATAAATAATAATAACTACACAATACCTTTTGGAACGATATACCACAGGGATCGCGCACTCTGCACGTGCCATTTCTCTATAAGCTCCCAATATAGTTTCCAATAGATGATAAGTTGCCAACGAGAGATACGGAAGATAATTTTACTGTAACCTTCATTACAATAAAGTGCAATAATGTTCTATTGTTAATTCGTTCATATCACGATGGATGGTCGTCTAAGAGTACTTAATTTTTCAATTAAAGCCTTGCAAATATATTATCAACTCTGTGGAAATTGCTTCAACTAATCACGAGTTGCATAACGCTAATGTGTAATGGAAATTATAAATATCAATGAACTAAAGAAGTAAGTTTGTAATCTAATTTTACGTAATCGGGCAAAGTAGGACAATGTCTTATCAGACACTGCAAGCGACACCTCTCGGGACGCTTTTACTAGATCTACAAACATGTTTCATCCATTCACTCATGTGTTTCGCCACCGTCTACATTTTGCCTTGGTTATACATGCGTGCTTGAGTATCGTAAAAATTTAGATCACATTTTCCGTGTAGCTTCTGCTACTTCGTCGTGCAGAATTTTTGGAGTGAAACCAACACAATTTTGCGTTGTTGTTGAATGAAACGAATACCTCCCAGTGGTTTGTGTGTACGTCATGAGATTGATTTTTCTCGCGGCACATTTACGATATCATTCGGGAGAAAAATTAGCTTGCCTTTTCCATAACGTGGCTATCGATGGGCACTTGGCACACGCTGGAAAATTTTTATCACTGTGATAGTACATTGCATCACCGTAAGTGTTAACAATCCATTTGATTAATTATCATTAGACGTTATTAATCGGTGCGTTTTTGTGACACCTTCGTTGACAGTGACCTTCGTGAAGTCACTGTTGACTTTATATAAATATCTAGAGACAGTGTTACATTATCCTCTGCTATTGTACGAAGACCTTACATTAACGATGATACTTGTGTGATAAAAACCGATTAACAAGTGTAGAGCGATGACTTCTTTTCCTCGTCTCAATTAAATTTCTCGATGACATATAGTTTGCGCGCGAATGCGTACGCGTATCTATGACGGTTCCTGGTTGTGTCAAAAATGCATTTGATCTATTATTGTAACATGCGATATATTAATCAATGCGTCTTACGGTCTTTACTTACCGCGTACATTCGTGTGTAAATGTATATGTATCTTTTACTTATCAGTTCCGTGAAAGATTTGGGTGGTAATTCCCTAAAAAATATTGATGAGATATGCAGCAGCAGGTTGAATACACACTTCCACAGACCTTAGTGTATGATTATTGCAATAACATTGGATCCGAAAGCAACATAAATCCAGAAGATGACTGCGGTAGAGGCACCACCATTTATTCGTACCATCGAGTGGGATATGATGGACAAAACAAAGTTCTTCCCATTAAGCATGCTATCATCCTTTTCAGTACGTTGTTGCTTATATCCTTTAACAGTAGTCAAAACACGTTTACAAATTCAAAGGCACAATCATATGTACAATGGTAAGTTTTGCATAAATAATTTGTCTAATTGAAACTCATATGTTTATTTTAAGCATTGTATACCATTAATAATTTTGTACAGGAGTGATAGATGCTCTCAGAAAGATATACACAGTTGAAGGCGTAGCAGGACTTTATAGAGGATTCTGGATCAGTTCTATACAAATTGTATCTGGTGTATTTTATGTATCTACATATGAAGGTGTGCGTCATTTACTTGGACAAGATGATGTTATAGGTCATGTAGATTCACGTGTTAAAGCGTTACTTGCTGGTGGTGCTGCTAGTTTAGTAGGGCAAACCATAGTGGTTCCTTTTGATGTTCTGAGTCAGCACTTAATGGTTCTCGGGATCAATAATAATAGTAAACGTGGAAAATATGTAGACAAAGTAAGTGGACAATAAGAGAGATGAATGTCTACTATTTCTTCACATATATGTGATTTACAGATGGGGATGAATCCATTGGGTTTAACACTTGAACCTGGAAAATCTCATGCTCAAATTTCAGCTGAAATTGTTAAATTGATCTACCAGAGAGATGGATATAGAGGTTTTTATCGAGGATACATAGCATCATTATGTGCTTATGTTCCAAATAGTGCACTTTGGTGGGGACTGTATATATCTTATCAAGGTAATTTCCGTAAAAAATGATTGTAAAGATATAAATTAGTCCTTATTTAACAACCTTCTAATTTTGGATTCCAGAGGAGCTTATTCGGATATTCCCTGAATGGTTTTCCCACTTGTTCATTCAAGCTGTGGCTGGGACATTAGGAGGATTTACTACTACAATTATTACGAATCCCTTAGACATTGTACGGGCAAGGTTGCAAGTGCAGAGATTGGATAGTATGTTTAGTGCATTCAGAGTTCTTTGGGTCGAAGAAAGGCTGCATATGTTTACAAAAGGACTATCCGCGCGTCTTGTACAGTCTGCTTGTTTCAGTTTTTCAATAATTTTAGGATATGAAACTATTAAAAGATTCAGTATAACCGAGGAGTACAAAAGATACGTTAGGTGGTAAAATTTGCGCAAATAATTTCTATGTTAATGCATTTCTCGCCGATTCTGTATTATTCACAGAAACAACCGACACGCACCAAAGAAACAGAAACGTGATTAATTTCAATTGTTTTGAAAATAGTGCACCTGTTATGCAAACTGTATGATACAACTGTAACTATCTTTCGAATATTCAGAAGCAATTTATTGAAGTATTTATTTTAAAGAAAGACATTGATTAACTGCGAATTTTAACAGCAACGTAATGTCAGGAACGTATTTGAAATTATTTTTCTTCACAGATAGTTAGAATCATATCTATCATGCATGTGTCAAATTTGCAAATGTTTTTCCACTAAATAAGTGGAGTAATGCATCAATATTCAAAGCTTCCTGACATACGTAGGAAAAAAGTGCATTTTATGTAATCTTCTTTGTGTATCATACAAAGTACAAACTTTGTAATATATGTTAGATATGTGTTACTGTAATAAAATACAATATTAGACACAAAACTGTTCACTGGGACAGTAGAATTTCTATGAAATAAAATTATCTGCAAGTATGAAGCAAAAATTCATAGTAATGTTACGCTGTATGCAGAGTATATAAATGAATAAATATTGAATAATTTATATTGTTTTACACGTAGATGTTTAGTTGAAAGTTTACCCATTTTAAGATGATTATAGGTACTTGATCAAGGTAAGTTGCATTTGTTCCATTTATCTTTTATTATAAAGGACAGCATATCGATAGGTACATGTTTTTTTCGAAGGTACTTAAGTGGTCTCGAGAATGTGGCTCTTGTACATGAATTATGGTACTGTTACGTTCGAGCGCTATCTACTCCTTACAAAGTAAAATTACATGTTATCTGTCTGTCAGAACATTTATACGGTATGTACAGGCCAGGGAAATTTGATCAATTTCCTATATGTATACAACACAACGCGAATTACCGTTTCTATACGTATGTATATAAGACGATCTGATAGTCCTTAAATGTACTATTTAACGTAGCATCGAGTTTCTGGATTACAAGGAGTAGTGTATATACACGCTAAAGTACACTCTATGATCAGTGTTGTCTGAGAAAATCTCTTACCTTTGCCGTTGTTTCATATAGGTATCTTGACAGAGAAGAAATAAAGAATGCGAAGTATTATATTTTAGGCGTTTAAATTAAACGGAACTTCGTGTAGTATAAAGCGCCCTCTAAACCGGAAGTTTCGTAGAATATTGTTTCAAAGTGGAATATTTATGAAGTATTTATTACATTTCTTTCATTTCAATAACACGGACCGTTTTCTTTTTAACCAATTGTATTTTCATTTGTTTTTTTCGACGTATTGGTATGGATAATTTTCTTGTTATTAAACTTTCAAAAGCTAACGAACTTACAGTATCTACAATGACTAGAATCGTTACGACGTCGACCAATCACAGACGAGAATGTGGCGACTCTCCAAGCAGTTCAAACGATACATTTCGACAAGTGTTCTCTTACCGCGTTCGCGACAGTTTATTTACCTTTCACGCGAGTGGAAAGAAATATTACGCAGTGTACAAATGTCGTTTGACGAGTGAAATGTATGCTACGCGAGATTCACGCTGAAAGAAATGTCGGGAACATCAGACGGAGCAGTATTAAGAAGTTCAACTTTTGGGTGAGTCCTGTTGCTTTCACGTTGACTGTTATTGCGTTCTTCCGTACATATATTGAAGATATCGATTCTAATAATCACTATGTGAAAATTAAAATTGCATTCGTTACTTTGTCAATTAAATGGAAGAGAGGAGGAACGCAGAAACGTCTGTATAAAGTTATTTGTAAATGTATAAATTGCAAACAGTGGTTCTCAATTAGCTTTTTCATCATCCTTCGAGCGAAATAGGATTTTTTTTCTTTATTTATCGAAATGTTCAGCACGATGGGGTTCGTGTTTATCGCCGAATAATACTAAATTCATTGTTACTCGAAGAAACGGTTCGCATATATGTAGTCGAATTAAATACACGCCCTCTTGCAATCTCTCATACAGGTATACGTTACGTATAGTTTGATAATTTTCTAATATTTACAATTACACGGCGATGACTTATGTACACTGATAGGTGAGTATATTAGGGTGATTCTCGTAAAACAAATTTGTCATTCTGCAAAAATATTCGCTATAGAAGTAGACGAGTATATTCTTTGAGTACAGATTGTCCGTTACGATGATCCGAAGTAACAGTGACGCTCAAACTTCGAACGGTCCTCATGCATTTCGAGAACTTATTTCGAGACAGTCGTTGGAACACAATTCGAGAGGTCGATCTCAAAACTAATTACGTACGGTTACGCTTGACGTTTTTTTTTTCGTCTCTATTCGTTTACTTACAATTAAAACCAGCCTCGGTCAGCCCGAAACGATGCCTCTTTAATGATTCTACCGAGAGTGTAACTTCGTTCTCGTTATCCATCGATTAAGTTACATCGGCCATGGGTGCTTATTTTCACGTTACACTAGTCTTGTCGTAAACAAGCGAGGATACGGTTCGGCGAACAGATTTGTTCCTGGACATTCGCCGGATGAGTCGATGAGGAATACCTTTTAGTGCTGCCAGTCTTGACTCTTTCGCGTTCGAGGGAATTTTTCAGGGGGAAGGGAAATATCGCTCGTCGGTGTCAATCATGGACACCTCGTAATGTATTGGATTTCTCTGTGCAAGGCTGGTTCCAGTAACTTTTTAAATGACATTGGAAACGGCAAACCTTTCGTGAAACATCGATCGATCAAAAATTGCCGTTTTTAACGTGTGTTCGAGTCACCTCTGGAACGAACCGTGCACACGCTTCTCGAGCTACGCTGGTCACGTTCGATCAACAGTTCCGAGCACGGTGGGTACGCTAAGGCTACGAAGTGTCGAATGGTACCAGAACGTAAAAATTGGTGACGAGTTATTCAAACTCGATTTACAACGCTGCAATTGCCGTAATTCGATTCGCTAGATCCTTCGTCGGAGGTATAAAACGCGAGAGACTACGCTGTATCTATTTACAAGGGGGAATCAAAGTGGTGGCTTTCTTTGTGGTCCACTTTTCGGTTTTATTTCTTAAATGGGGGGTCGGTGAGCGGTCGTCGTTTGTTTCGCGCGACCAGAATGTCGTGAAGATTCCAGGCCCAGACTTCGGAATTGAATCTTTCAACGATCCTCCGGTAGCGAGCCTATAATCACGTGTCCCGAAAACGTATCGCCCGTTCTCGACGAGGCCCAGACCGGGCCCCCGTGTATCGTCACATCCCGCCGCTTGGTAGTCCACTTCCGGCGCCACCGTCGCTACTTTGGCTCACGCTGCTGTAGCTGACGCTGCTGGCTTGACCACCGGTGGTTCCTCCGGTAACGTACTGCAACCAAAAAGACGATACTGTTAACAGAATATTTGTCGTGACTGTTGGTATTCAGCCTGTATTTGGTACCGGTATGTACACCGAAGGGGACACGATCGAATACAGACAACAATTGGAAGATCTTTGACTCCATTTTCGTCGACCCAACAAAACTGAAAATTCATAAGCAATATATACATACATCGAATCTATACTTGTGTCTGTTGGGATCTAGATATAGCCTGTCTTTCGAAGGCTACCACTCTGCAGAGTACGATCCTTCTCCACTCGAAACCACAGTCGAGTATCTAATTAGCGAGTCTCGAAATTTCCAGACACGCGATCCCATCTCTCCGACGTACAGTTCGAACTCTATAAATTGGGAAACTGGATCGAATTTTCTTGTTTCCTTGAAAAAATTCCCGACAGTTTTTGATCCTCCGTGGCTCAAGGGCCATTCAGCCTCTCACCGCTTCTCTGTTTCGTCGACTAATTAGTACGGAATTAAATCGCGCGTTTTCGTTACTTACGATAAATAGTTGCTGGATGCCAGGGATTCGAGACGGGGGCGAAACGTTTGAACTTTAATTAAATTCCTCTGCCCGTCTCGCCTCACTTTTCTGCGAAATTCCGTTGGAATCGAACGGTAGATGGCACACCTCTATCCTTCGGTCGTGTGTCGTCGATTCGCTCGTTAATTAGCCGATTCACGGACGTGCGCGACCAGGTGACGAGGACGCGTCAGAATCGCGAGCATATCCCGAGGGAATCGGGATTTAAGGACGTCGTTTCCCGCAGCCGTACGGAACAGGGTTTTAATCGAATCGCATTGTGCGCTTCCTGTCCTCCCCTAGACTCCACAACGACGACACCGACGGTTCGTTCAGCTCTCGGGGATTCAATGCGGCATTGTAACCGCGAAAATGGTGTGCAGGTCGAGAGGGGTTGTGAGTCACCGACGATTCGTACACGATTCGAACGCCTATAGGTCGAACCGCCGATTGGCCAACTCCACAGCTATAAATCGAACGGTTGAACGGCTGAAATTTTAAGACCGAGGAAACAGAAGTTCGTATTTTCACGTAAAGGGAAACGAAAAGTCGGACGATTAGGTCGTGTACAGGACTGTTAGGACACCGGAAGTCGACCCAGATACTCTCGTCGTTTAATCCGTCGGAGAATGAGCGTAAGAGCGTAAAATCGAAGAAACTGGAAATCCGATCTGGTGGTTCTCTGGAGGATTCGGTTCTTGATAGGATAAACGAGGAAACTTCTGGCCCTGCTCTCGAGCTGTGGTAGTCTTCCCCCGAGATCAAACTGATGAAACAGCACTGCTGAGACGGATTTTGTATCGATCTTGCGATTCTTCCTTGTTTTTCGCAAGCACAAGCTGGTTACAGATTCTGGTGGACCGAGGGTAAAGGTGTGCTGGTCAGTCGAGGAACGATGAGGTCGAGGGAATAGTAGTTACTGGAGAATCGAAGCTGGAGAATTCTATTTTGTCGTTGTGTCGTTATTTACACGACACTTTATGAAATCATTCGCTGTCTGTTCGATACTCGACGACGACTAATCCACTGAAAGACACCGCAATTTCGACATCGGGGATTCAGCGTGACGTTTTTATCCGTAAAATCGGTCCGACGCTGTGGTATTCGCGGTGATAATTTTTCCCACGGCTCGCCGCTTTCGCGAGTATCGAGTTATTCGGTTTACGGGCGCGATTCATCGAAAATCGTTTCCACGTCCACACGCGCTGCTTTATCGGACCATTCCCGATACATCGGGACTCCTTCGGTTCTCCTACGAATCGGAAAT